TCTATTTCACATAGACCAGTACCATGTCAATGGAATTCTATTTCCCTGGATCCTAAACTAGTCAAACTGCTTTTCCCTGTGCTCTGCTGTCTGGAGGTCATGGACTGTGTGTCCATCAGCCTGGAGTCTGTGCACCAATGCTCATCCCCTCCAGACTCATCCCCTCCTTCCTCTCCCCATCCCTATTATCCCACAGTGCTAATGCAAAGGCCAAAAGGATTTGAGACAAGGGATGACTCAAAGAATCCACGCTGTCCATGCCAGGAATTGCTATGGATGGTTTCAGGACTGAATATGACCAGTTTGTGCCAGCTTCTTACAAGCCTAATCACAGTTGGGTTTGGAGAATCGCAGAATCATAGAATGGTTTGGGTTGGAAAGGACCTTAAAGATCATCTTGTTCCACCTCCTGCCATGAGCAGGGACACCCTCCACTATCCCAGGTTGCTCCTTCTTCTTTTCTTGGACAAGAAACCACAAGGCACATCTCACACTGACCCCAGGTGAGATGGGAGCCGGATCCTCCAGCACAAACACACACCAAGACAATTCCTCACAGGTATAAGGATTGAATACAACTCCTCTGGAGCAAGTTTACTAAAATTTATTGAGATATGAAGACTATGAAGTACAAACACCCCCAAATGAGAATTCAATGTCTCCTGGAGCCTTTGCCTTCTAGCACTATTCAAATTATTGCTAACCCTAAAAGGAAATAAGAAAAAGAATAGCTGTTCTGAGGGCCAGAGGAAGAACTTGTTCTGCATCCTCTCATGGGGACAGACTTCTGAATGTGTCTGATCTCTCTGAGATAGAAGCTGATTGACACAATATAATTTCAACAGCAAAACCTTTTTAAAAATGAGAAATATTGTTGTTTTCTGGGTGGTTCAAGAATTGCTTTCAAGATCCTTCAGGTCATTAAGGCTGTTTGTGAAGGAGTTTGTTCTGTTTCTGTAGTTCATGTTTTGCTGTGTTCACGTGTGTGTTAATGCATATTTTCTGCTCAAAATTCCAGATTTTCTGATGGGATGATGCATCTCTCAAATTTCCAGAAGCTCTGCTTAGCCCATATGAGATGTCAGTGGTCACTAATCATACTGCAAAATAAAGGAAAGAAATTTTCACATTTTGCAATCCAGGAAAGGATTTCAATACAAAGCACAGAAGGGACTGAATGAGCACCAAGAGCTGATATTCCTGGATCCAACTCTTCAGTGCTTGGTGGGATACTCACAGACTTGCTGCTGATGAATTTTAATAGTAAATTGCTTTTCTATTTTACTTAATAATGAATTGATCAGTGTCTGTCCCTGAAGCTTCCTACTCATCTTGGAAACTCTGGTCTGGTAAGGAATTTCTTCTGCTCATGCTTTGTTTATAACATCTCTGCTACTAATATTGAACAAAGTTTAAATAAGAGACTCCAAAAATAAGAGTGCCTGTAGCATCTTACAGTACAAAAAAAAAAAAAAAAAAAAAAAAAAAAAAAAAAAAAAAAAAAAAAAAAAAAAAAAAAAAAAAAAAAAAAAAAGAAACAGAAAATAAAACATTAGAATCAGTGGAGGCAGAGTGTAAGTTTTCATGGATATTTGTTTCTGCACTTTCATATCAGAGTAAAGGTGTAGGTTGAAATTTAGAATTCTAGTAAGAAATTCAAGGGGAAAAAATCCCTAAAACAAAACATAGAATCATGGAATGGTTTGGGCTGGAAGGGACCCTAAAGTTCATCTCATTCCAACCCCCTGTCATGAGCAGGGACACCTTTCAGCAGACCAGGTTGCTCAAAACAATGAGCAAATATTTTGGTTTAGTCTAAAACAGGAAAATGATGAAACTGGAGAAGATATCTTGCAGAACAATGTGACTTTCAGGTTGCTCTTCTGACTGTGAGACCTGGCAGGCTTTGCAATGTGGAACATGCAGGTTTCCTACAAACTTCACCCAAATGTCCCAGGTCTCCAGAAAGTCTGCACTTGAAAGACAGAATTAACTCATCATGAGCAGCTTGAATCAGCTAATGGGAACAGCAGAAAGAAAGAGTTCATCTCTAGCTAATTCATTCTCTCTGCCAAAGAGATTTCACTGTGATCTTTCCCACGAGGCACTTGAGCTGCACCATTAATGGTACAGAGGGAAGTACTGAGGAAATCCTCAGGAAATCCTGTACCTGAGTGTACAGAGTCTCTGCTCCCTTGCTGGAGGAGTTTTGCCTCTAAAGGGCAGACTGAGTGTGTGAAAATGAGTAATAAACCCATTACCCCAAGAAATCCCTGGGAAAAAAGGTCAGGTTGGACAGGGCTCGGAGCAACCTGGTCTGGTGCCTGTGGCAGGGGGGTGGAGTGAGATGAGCTTCAAGGTCCCTTCCAACCCAAACCATTCAGTGATTCCATGGATCATCACATCCATAACTCACCACGGTCCTACAGCAAGGGACCCCTCGCTGGCAGCGCCCAAAGGACCTTGTGTTGGCTGGGGGACAAGGGTCAGTGGAACAAACACCCCCAGCCTGTTTGCACTGCACCTCGTTGTTGGGGGCACGCATGAAACCTGCACAAAACAAAAAATAAACGACCTAAAGCCTTGATTTTTCTTCCCAAAAGAAGCTAAAAACAATTTAGGCTGTGGCATGACAGCAACATTCTAGTCTGCCTGCGGGCTGGCCACATCCACATCATTAAATTCCCTTATTTTCCCAACTGGGAGCCTTCAGTGCATCCAATGGTTCCAGTTGGTGTCTGTTGACAGGTAAAGTGTGTCCAACGTGCTGGAAGCATTAGTTGGCCTTGGGCAAAAGGGACTAAAATAATTTCTATTTCTATTTCTACTTCTATTTCTATTTCTATTTCTATTTCTATTTCTATTTCTATTTCTATTTCTATTTCTATTTCTATTTCTATTTCTATTTCTATTTCTCTCTCTTTCATTTCTATTTTATTTCTATTTCACTTCTATTCCTATTTCATTTTATTTTATTTCTATTTCTACTTTAGTCTCTCCATACTCATGATTTTCCCTCTGCGTTTCCTTACATTTTATGTAACTCTTACCTGAAGTGCCTTGGAGCATTAAGAGGAGAACAGCAAAGAAAAGGGAAAAGATCTTCATGTCCAAATTCAGTGCCACCAAATACAACAGCTACCAAGGAAAAATCAGAAAGAAGTCAAGCATTTAACCTGCATTTGTCATCATCCAGTACAAACACTATTTATGACATATAAGCTGCAGTTTGTTAATAAAAAATGCCACTTATGCAATGTTTATAAATGTTCTAGAATAAATATATTGAAATACCACTTTTTAAGGGAAGATATATTTGAAAGCATGTTGCATAAGAAAAAAAAATTATTTATGGTTGTAAAATTTAAAAGAATTAGATTAATACTGTTAATTTCTTTCCATCAACTTCAGTGATAGCCTACACCAGCTTTAGTGAAGACCCTTTATTTGAATCCCATATAAATAACTCTGGATGTTAAAACTTCAAACAATTTAAAAAAAATTAATTATCTTCCTCCAAAATTAACTTCCTCCCTTCTCCCTATAACATCTTTATAACATGAGCCAGCTGAAAGCCCTGAAGTGTGTCTCCACCACCATTTCTTGATGCAGATTCCAATTACCTTTTGAAAATAATGCAAACTAATACAATAATTAGGAATCATCATTATTGACTGTAACAATCAGCCAAATGCATTACTGAAATACCAAGCATTGTACATTTTAGAGGTTTATGAGGATTTAAGGTATAATTAAATTAAACTTAATATAATCATACATATTGGACGATGAATTTCTTTTTAGAGAAGCAATGAATTTTGTCAAAAAATCATGTGGTTTTCTCCTCATTGCTTGAAACTGGTGTGGAAACTACACCTTCACCTCATCCAAGAGGACTTCAGGAGAGGGGCCAGTCTGTCCTACCTGCTTTCTCCTAAAGGGTGGCTTCCCAAAGTGATGTCTTGCCCCAAAAGAACTGTCTTTATATACTCCTGCTGATGACAGAGCTGCCACAGACCAGTTGGCCAAGGACATGGACTTCTCACAGCAATTCCCAGCAGCTGAAACGTCACTTCCCAGCAGCCCAGGAGGAATGATGACCGCTCATGAACTCCCTTCCCTTTCTCTGGCACGCAAGTTGGCTCTTCCAAAAAGCCCCTGACACCACCCTGGTTTGTGTACAACACATTGATCCATCGTGGGCAGTGAAGGAAGTGTCCAGGGACAGACACACACTGGAGGCTGCTGGTTTGGATCCAGCAGGGACCTAATTCCACGGGGCTGTCCCACGGCCATGTGCTGTTGCTGACTGCAAAGAGATCGTCCCTGAGGCCTGGAAATGCCTCCACAGCCTCTGAACAGCTACATTAGGGAAGCTCAGTTTTTGGAATGACTCTCCTGTGTGAAAGCCGGGTGAGAACCCTCTGTGTTCATCAGAGAGTCGTTTGGGTTAGAAAGGACCTTAAAGATCATCTCGTTCCAACCCTCTACCATAGGCAGGGACACCTTCCACTATCCCAGGTTGCTCCAAACCCTGCCCAACCTGGCCTTGGACACTTCCAGGGATCCAGGGGCAGCCACAGCTTCTCTGGGCAACCTGTGCCAGGGACTCGCCACCCTCACAGGGAAGAATTTCTTCCTAATATCTAATCTAAATCTACCCTATTTTTATTTGAAGCCATTCCCCCTTGTCCTATCCTTCCAGGTCCTTGTCCCATGTCCCTCTCCAGTTCTCTTGGAGCCGCTTTAGGCACTGGAAGGGGCTCTCAAGTCTCCCTGGAGCCTTCTCTTCTCCAGGTGAACACCCCCAGCTCTCCCAGCCTGTTTCCAGAGCAGAGGGGTTCCAGCCCTTGGAGCATCTCCATGGTCTCCTCTGGACTCACTCCAGCAGCTCCATGTCTTTATTCTGGGGACTTCAAGTGGGGTCTCATATGAGTGGAGTGGAGGGGGAGAATCCCCTCCCTTGACCTTCTTGTCACACTTTCATTCTCATACATTTACCACATCTGTATTCTGCTTATGCCAGAGGAAATAACTATTGTTTGAATCACTAAACTAAAGTTTCATGGGAGCACCCACTCCCATGCACCCACTTTGTAGGTGGCCAAAGGAAATAAGCTCCACGAAACATGTTTTGATAAAATATGTGTCCCCAGAGGATTTGGACCAGAGACATTGATGGCAGCACTGGTATAACCTGAACTCTGAAGGCACCCTGTGAGCCCAGAGTTGTGTTTTCATTATCACACCACTAAGAGCAGGAAAAAACCCCAACATTCCTGTACTCCAAAGAGCATCCTACCCAGGTCAGCTGCCTCCCACAAGATGGCAATGAAGAGCTAGTGCTGAAATCCCCCTCCAGCAGTTTTCTTCAGTCCAGAGGACGTAAATTATTCTGGCAGCGGGGTTTTATGGATTTTCTCCTTAATTATACTGATGTGTTCTGATTTGCAGCATTGATACATGAGAGAATGATGATTTCTGACAGGCCAACCTCAAAGCCCCCTGTATTTTCCAATCTGTTGTGGACTCCTGTGATGGACAAAAAACCATCTGTTACTCTCAAAATCATGTTGAACCTAACAGGTAACAGAAGAAGATCCAGGGAGAACGAGTCTGGGATTCCTTTTGCCTTGGAAGCAGGAGACAGACAATGATAAGAGCCTGGGGATGTGGGACACATTTAATTCCCTTAGAAACCATCAGTGTCTGTGTCACAGATGCCCCAAATCCTCTCAGGCCCAAAATGTATGATAGGAAAAATCAGAATAGGTGCTTTAACCACCCCAAAAGAACACACCTATCTTAAATCCCATTCCTGTAAAATTTAATTGATGGAACGTGTATATGTGCTCTTTAATAGGTAGGAATATTTGTTTCTATGATTTGGATTTTGGTTTTGTTTTTCAAAAGAAAACCAACAAAAATCTAGATTCAAGTGTGGAACTGCAAAGGGGCAGAAATAGACACTGTGATTATTTAAATGCATAAATGAGTTCTTCGAGGAACAGAGCTCTGAACTGAGCTTTTGAGGTCACCTCCTGAAAAGCAACTTGAAATAGGATAAAATGACTCTTTCCTCCTGATTTCCCACTTTGTGGCTGTGGCACCTGCCCCAAGTGGTACAACCTCAAATATGAATCAGGACTGGGATAAGATCTTCAACTAATTAATTTTATTTGTTGTTATATTTGATGGAAAACTTACTTTAAATATCTTAATATTATAATTAAACTGTTATTTTAATTACCCTATTAACTCTAAATATGATTTTAGCTACTCAAGAAAACAGAAGTGATGGATTTTCCTGACCTGTTTCTTGCCAGTTAAACACATGCAATTAAAGAATAATGCAAATCAATTAATATTGCAATACTGTAACCTGAAAGCATTTTGACAGCTGAAATATTCAGTTTCCTTTCTTTGCTGTGCTGCAAAAGATACTATGTGGAGTCCCAAAAATCACATCTTTCTTTTGTACAGATAACATTTGCAAGCACATATATGTATATATATGTGTGTGTGTGTATCTATATGTATATATATATTTGTATGTCTGCATGTATGCATATATATATTTATAATTTACAAATGTTCTAAGATAAATAAGGGTTGAATTTTCTAAACTGCTTTATATTTTATCCTCACTGAAGAATATGCAAATAGATAAGACCAATACAAAGAATCTAATCTGTGCTTTACTCGGGAATAGTCAGGATATTAATTTAATAATTGTTTATTTAAAATTAGACGTATTCTAAGATGATATTTCTTACTCTTCCATTTCTCCACAGCCCTCCTAGCAAACCCACACTAACAGAGATATATTTATGCATAAAATGTTTTAATATGAATGTGTGGAAGGACTCTTCTAAATCTCAGTTGGCTTTTTATCACTCAGCAGGTCACAGACTTTGTTCTCTGGGAACATCCAGGTCTCAATTCCTTTTTTCACACTTAGACAAGTGCTGCCTGAAATGTCCCTGTGTCCTGTCCATCCTCCCTGGTTTGGTGTCCTCTCTCCTGACCATTGTCCACCAGCCCCAGGGGGATATCTCAGCCAGTCCAAAGCACCCCAAATCACTCTAGATTACAGTGTGAAAGCTACTGGGTTAAACCCTGTGTGTCCATATATCACCTCCATCATGCCACATCTTACCTCTGATGATGGGATGTCCCCAAGCAACCCGAGACCATAAGGATCCTTCACTTTTTCTCTGCCATCCTCTTCCTCCAGTGTCCTCTGTGCAAATGGCAGGAAGGACGACAGACCTTTGGTACGATTGCCCAATGTTTGTCCTCACAGCACCTCCACAATTTGCCATAAAATCCATCCAGGAACAGCCCTGCTATCCATTCAGTGGCCTTGGACAGCCCTGTGGAAACCTGCCCGGACCTGAGCTGGCCAAAACCTGCCTGGAAATCCAACCTGCTGCCAGGCGTTTTGAGCAGCAAAGCGGAGGGAGCTGCCCCTGCTCCCTTCGGGAATCGGGGCTGGGCTGCACCTCTCTCACCTCAGAGACTTCCAGCTCAGCAAGGAAGCCAACAAACAAGCCAGCTGCTTCCAAAGCCCCTGAAATACAAGGATAAAAGCGCTGCCTGGAGAACCAGGGAGCAGAAATTCAGCTGTACATCTCCAGAGCAACATTAACATTTATCTGTGTTACACTGACTGTAAAACCGTGATTTATCCCACATGGAGTTTACCCATCTGGGAGCAAACCCTAGATTTAGATAACCTTAAGGTGGACATCTGAGCTGCCTTTTCTTTCAGGGCACTCAAGCAGCTACAAAGCTGATATTTGGTCTTGAGGAATATATTCTCAGCCCTGTGATTTCTTAAAATCATTCACAAAGAATCCTACAGAGAGAAACAGCCCATTCCTGTGCCCTTCCTTACCCAATTTTGTCATCCCTCCTGGGCAGCAGGGTTTCTGGTCCTCCTGGTTTCATGGCCAAGAAGGTCTATAAAGCAGAACATGGTGACACTGCCAGCAACACCTACTCTCTTACATATTTATTTTTATTGGAGTAGGACATTGTCTCAAGGACATAGTTGTTGCAAAGGGCAAATTCAGGACTCCAGGACGTCACAGCAGCTTGAAGTTCCTCCTCTTCCTTTAGTCCAAGGTGGTTTTAAGCATTTTTAGACATATGACTCAATTTAAGAGCAGCAGCAGCAGCTCACACAAGTTCAGGGCTGCTGCAGTATTGTGTTGCCTGAATCAGGAATAGTTCCAGCATCTTTTAAGAATCACAGGATCATAGAATAGTTTAGGTTAGAAGGGACTTTAAAGATCATCTTAAAGCAAGACTATTTTTTTCTTTCACATAAAAAATCCATAATCTGGACACATCTGCTCCAACCCAACATCACCAGTGCAGTTATTGTCCATAAAAACTGGTGTCACTCAGCTCCCTTCTCCAGTTACCACCCCATTCAGAAAGTTACCCTTCTTCCTGATATAATTTCCCTGCAAGTCCACGTTGCTTTTTCAAGCCACACATCTATTATAAAAAGGACAAAATGTTAAGAAGCTAAACAATGACCATGCAGACGCTGCAACTTAGACAACAAAGCTGCACACCAAAGGCAGAACAATGATTACTTTCTGTGAGGGTGGTGAGGCCCTGGCACAGGTTGTCCAGAGAAATTGTGGCTTCCCCATCCCTGGAAGCATTCCAGGCCAGGTTGGATGGGGCTTGGAGCAACCTGGGATAGTGGAAGCTGTCCCTGTCCATGGCAGGGCATTGTAACTGGATGAGATTTAAGGTCCCTTCCAACCCAAACCATTCCATGATTCTACAAATAAGGAGCCTGCAGGACCAGAAGGAGCAGTCATTGCATGTTTCCAGGTATTTTATGCAACCCTGTGGTCTCACGTATCTTACACAAACTTGGATGGTCCAAGATGGGTTGCACAAAGATCAGGGGGTTTGTGGTGAAAGCAGTCTCAAAGTGGACCTTCATTTCTCCTTGGAAGAAACTGACATTCAGGAGGAATATGGCCAGAAAAGGCTTTTTTTCACTGGCCCATGACAGTGCTGTCACATCCCCAAATTTGGGGCTGGTGCACCCAGAGGAGAACAGACGGACAGAGCAGCATTGATCCTTGCCATGTACTTGATTGTCACAACTTTTTATCAAAAGACCATCTTTCTTGATAAAAATAGCTTCACTGGGTGCCTCTGACAGCTTACTGGATACCTCCTGTAGCATCCTTAGTGCCTCCTGTAGCTTTTGCAGGCAGCTCTGCTCCTGCAGCAGCCTGGCCTTTGCAGCGGCTTTTTAGCTCCATGTTCAAAGCAAAGGCAAAGCAGATCCTACCTTTTATCAGTCCTTTACACAACCTCAGGTCCAACCCTTGCAGAATGGCAGAGCTGCTGCATCCCAGTGTCGCTGGAAGGCACCGAGTCCTAGAATTGGTCAGGTAGGAAAAGCCCTTAAAGCTGTTTCTGTTCCTTCCCACAGCAATGTCTGCCAGGAAGGACGTGCCGGACGATCCCCCCAAGGGAGATGCTGGCCAGGGTGGCCTGGCAGTGACATGGAAAGGTGCAGAGAACCATCTCACTGTGCTGGACAAGGAGCTGGGAGCTGCTGGCAGAGGTGAGGGTACCAGGTGAGGGACCCTGCAGTGCCTGATAGCCCAGCCCAGCCCAGAGGCCACCCCCCCTCAGCCCAGTAGCTGCACTGGGACCCCTCTCAGCCCACAGCTGACACCATGGCCTGGGGCACCTGCACTCCCAGTCTGACTCCAGTAGCACCCAAATCTGCTCCCACCCCCAGGTGTCCCCAGTACCCTCAGCCCCTGCAGCACATGTTCCCCCTGCCAAGCTTTGGTTCCTGTCCCTGGCTCCGTGGCTGCTTTCTCAGCTCTGGGGCTGGGGAGAGTTTNTCTCATGCGGCAGCCAGTGGCAAGTTCACCATAGAGTAGGATCTTAGGGAGGCGGTGGTCTTTCATCCTGGGAATAACTTGCTCTGATGTGGACTTCTCTCTCCACGATCCACAGGTCTCCTTGGTCTCCTGGGCCTTCCACGGGGGGTAACGGCCTTCTTCCATGCATCCATCTGCTCCAGCATGGGTTCGGCTGCACCACGGCAGGGCCGCCCCGGCCTGTCCTGGCTCAGTTCAGCTGGGGGAAAAGGGGAGGGCAGTGCCCTCCGGCGGGGCCGCTCTGCAGCCCTGGCCCAGCCCGCGGGGTGCCCTCAAGCCCCTCGGCCCAACCCGGCTCGGCTCCTCAGGCAGCTCGGGCTCCAGCACGGTCTGCTTGTGGGGAGGGCCCGGGGGAGCTGTGGGGCCGCTCTCCACAGGGCCATGTGCCCCAGCCCCGGCTGACCCTTTGCAGGGGCTGCTGCTCGGCTTGGCCGGCACTGCCGAGAGCAGCACGGGCAGCTCGCAGGGTGGGCCCGGGGGGCTGTGGGGCCACACGCCCTGGCCCCGGCCATGGCTGCGTCTCTCCGGTCCAGGTGCCGCCCTGGCCCTGGCCATGGCTGTGTCTCTCCGGTCGAGGTGCCGCGCCGCCCGGGCCGAGTCTGCCTCCCCTGCCCGTTGTGGGGGAGGCCACCCCAGCCACGCAGAGACTTCAATCCGCATCTCCCTGGCTCCAATTTCTTCTGCGCAACCAGCTTGTTCTTAAATATGTTATCACAAAGGCACTATTATTGGCTCTCCCTTGGCCAGCAGCAGGAAGTCCCTCCTGTAGCCAGCTATCATTGGCTTCAGTGGGGGGGAAACTTCTAGCAGCTTCTAACATAAGCCACCCTATGTAGCCCCCTCGCTACGAAAAAAAAACCCCCAGCCACCTCAACCCACGACAGTTTGCCTGGTACCTGGTACCTGAGTCCATTGGCTGGTTCACCAATATCCAAGCAAGATCTGCCTGGTATTCCTTCTTTGGGAGGGGGAGTCCTTGCCACGTACTTGATTGTAACAACTTTTTATCAAAAGACCATTTTTCTTGATAAAAATAGCTTCACTAGGTGCCTCTGACAGCTTACTGGATACCTCCTGTAGCTTTTGCAGGCAGCTCTGCTCCTGCAGCAGCCTGGCCTTTGCAGCAAGGCTTCTTAGCTCCATGCTCAAGGCAAAGGCGAAGCAGATGCTATCTTTTATCAGTCCTTTACACAACCTCAGGTCCAACCCTTGCAGAATGGCAGAGCTGCTGCATCCCAGTGTCGCTGGAAGGC